GTGTGTGTGTGTGTGTGTGTGTGTGTGTGTGTGTGTGTGTGTGTGTGTTGCTGGCTGGGGATGGAATCCAGGGGCTTATGCCTAGACAAGGGCTCTATCAATGTATAGTATGTCTATTTTAGTTTTATTCTATCTCTTCTTCATGATCTTTTCAGTTTTTTTATTCTTTCAAATAAACTAAGATAATTGGGGGGGTTATTTAATCTTCAACAAAGCTTCCCAGTTTGCACTTTATAGTATTCAATTTCCCTTTTCAAGAATGTTATCTTGGATTATTGGTTCATTTCTGTCTTCTATATTTCTATGAGTTGTAGATATTTTATACAGCCAAGTTATTCCTAAGTGTAATAGTTTATTTTTAGAAGGTGTAATCTTATTCCTGGTGTATACTGAAAACATTGGTATAGTGAAACCACTTAGCAGTTTTATTAAATGCAGTTTACAGAGCATAAGATATACCCACTGAGAGTGTACAACTTAATGGTGTTATACAACCAGCACCACATTTAATTTTAGAACATCTCACCACACCTCGAATCCATTAGTTCCACTTCTAGGTGTCCCTTGACTTGTCAAGGGGAAGAGAATGTGTCTTCCCAAGGGTGCTCTGGGGATGAGCACCTGGCTTGCTGATGCATTTGCTTTGGGATTCCCTCCCCCCTTATTATTGTAAAGGGTCACTAATCCCATTGTCTAAGTAGTGTTCCATACATGTAGGGTTGTCTAAGCTCCTTGTCAGGAGACAGAAGGTCACCTCCTCTCCCCCACTTCTGTCATCCTGCATCTAATCCAAAACTTCATCCTCTAACAACACCAAGCTTGTTGCGGTCTTTTGCCTTCCTCTGCACACCTCAAATTATTAGCCACCTCCCTGGAGTTTTCACACATTATTTTCTTTTCTGATTCTCATGTAGTCATTTCTACAGTTTTCTTACTGAACTCTCATGCTTGATCTACTATTAAAAGTGGAATGTTAGGCTGGGGTTAGCAGTCTATCTCAATGGTAGACTGCTTATATAACATGTGCAAAGTCCTAGGTTTAACTCTAGGGTTGACAGAAAAATTAGTGGGTTACCAAAATTCCTATACATTATTGCTATTTATTTTTATTTTTATTTTTCAGAACAGGTTTTTTCTGTGTAGCTTTGTAGACCAAACTGGCCTTGAACTCACATAGGTCCACCTGCCCCTGCTGGGATTAAAGGCCTGTATCACCGCCACCACCCAGATTTCATATTGCTATTCTTTCTCAATATCTATTTTATATGTTTCAGGTTTTCAATACTGAGTGTTTATATGTTTACAACTGTTGCTTCTTTTATGTAAATTGGCTCTATTATTATTGTGCAATGACCTCTGTCTCTTGCGAAAACAATTTAATCAAAATTTGTTTTGTCTGCTATTAATGTAGCTGTTCTCATTCTCTTTGGGTTACCAGTTGCAGGGAAAAGCTTGTGTTGTCTTAAGCTTTCAGCCCATGTGTGTCCTTCAGGCTAACATGAGTCTTTTACAGGCAGTGCACTGTAGGATTTTATTTCTGTTTCATTCATTCATTCACTGTTCTACCCTTGGTTAGATGCTTTGATTTATTTACACTCTAAAGTAACTGCTGGTGGGTAAGGTCCTCCTGTGGCCATTCTGTTGATTACCCTGGTGTGTGGTTCTTTTTTTTCTTACTTGTCTTATGATTTCCTGCCTTCTTTTGAGTCCAAGGCTTTCTTGTTGTTTCCTCTTTATCTTTGTGTGCCTACTAGATGATTTCTGAAATTTTCATCTGTGGTTGACATGAAGCACATATAAGATACCTCATAGTTAAAAGAGCCTGTTTCCAGGCATGGTAGCCATGCCAGCATCCCAGTACTAAAGAGGCCGAGGTAGGGAGAGCTTAAGTTCTAGGCCAACTGGTGCTACATAGAAAACGCTGTTTTCAAAAGCTGAGGGGAAGAGGTGTAATTTTAAATAGTAATGTAACTAAATGATATATAATCTTTATCTTTTGTTTTTCCATATAAAGTTGATTATTATCCTTTCAAGGTCAGTGAAGAATTGTGCTGGAATTTTGATGGGGATCACATTAAATCTGTAGATTGCTTTTGGCAAGATTGCTATGTTTACTATGTTTATCCTACCTATCCAAGAGCATGGGAGATCTTTCCATTTTCTGGTATCTTCTTTAATTTCATTATTTAAAGACACAAAGTTCTTGCTATATAGGTCTTTCACTTGTTTGGTAAGCATTACCCAAAGATACTTTATGTTATTTGTGGCTATTGTAAAAGGTGATGTTTCTCTGATTTCTTTTCTCAGCCCCTTTATTGTCTATACATAGTAGGGCTACTGATTTTTTTGAGTTTATCTTGTATCCTGCTAGTTTGCTAAAGGTCTTTATCAGCTGTAGGCATTCCCTGGTAGAGTTTTTTGGGTCGCTTATGTGAACTATCATATCACCTGCAAATACTGACAGTTTGACTTCTTCCTTTCCAATTTGTATCCCTTGGTCTCCTTTTGTTGTCTTATTTCTTTAGCTAGAACTTCAAGTACAATATGGAAGAGATATGGAGCAGTGGGCAGCCATGTCTTGTTCTTGATTTTAGATGAATCACCTTAAGCTTCTCTTCATTCAGTTTGATGTTGGCTGTTGGTTTACTGTATATTGCTTTTATTATGTTTAGGTATGTTCCTGTTATCCCTGATCTCTCCAAGACCTTTATCATGAAAGGGTGTTGGATTTTGTCAAAGGCTTTTTCAGCATCTAGTGAGGTGATCATATGACTTTTCATTTTCAATTTGTTTATATGGTGGATAACATTGATAGATTTTCATATGTTGAGCCATCCCTGCATCCCTGGGATGTAGCCTACTTGGTCATGGTGGATGATTTCTCTGATGTGTTCTTGGATTTGATTGGTCTGTATTTTATTGAGTATTTTTTTTTTTTGCATCAATGGTCATGAGGGATATTGGTCTGTAGTTCTCTTTCTTAGTTGTGTCTTTTTTTGAATGGGTTACCAAAAACAGCTTGGTATTGGCACAAAAATAGACAGGTAGACCAATTGGCACAAAAATAGACAGGTAGAACAAGAGCAAATAAAAGAGACACCATAATAGAGGGAGCCATTATAGGTTTGAAGAGACAACTGACTCTAGAGAAATGTCCAGAGACCTACAAAGATGACCCCAACTAACAATCTGAGCAACAGTGGAAAAGCTACTTTAAACACCCTTCCCTTATAATGAGATTGATAACTAACTTATATGCCATCATAGAGCCCTCATCTAGTAGCTGCTGGAAACAGAAGCAGACACCTACAGCTAAACACTGAGCCATACTCCTGAAATCCAGTTGCAGAGAGGGAGGAGTGATAAGAAAAGGAGTTAAGACCAGGCTACAGAAACCCACAGAGACAGCTGACCAAAACAAGCAGGAGCTCATGGACCCCCAGATTGACAGCTGAGAAATAAGCATTGTACCAACTCAGACTCCCTGAGCATGGGTCTCGTTAGAAGGCCTGGGCAGTCTATGGGACCTCTGACAGTGAAACCAGGATGTATCCCTGGTGCACAACCCTACTCCAAATAACTTGACAGATTTTGATGATCCCTCCTGGAAGGCATCACCCTCCCTGTGTAGCGGGGGTTGGGAATGGGATGGGAGGGGGTCAGGGATATGAGAGGGAGGGAGGGAAAGGGAACTGGGATGGATATGTAAAATAAGAAAATTATATATATAATATATATATATGTATATGTATATGTATATGTATATGTATATATACATATATATATATATCCCTGCACACTTTAATATTTTCATTCATCCAATATTTTATACTATTGATGTCATACTTTATTTCTTGTAAAAATTATTTATTCATCTGCTATTTACTATAGCTATAGTTACTTTCAATATTTTTGTCTGACCACTACAGTCATGTACCAGGGACACAGATGAACTTGTGTTCTGCTAGACGCTGGGCATTCAGAGGCACCCCTGGGTCACAGTTTCTATGGGGCTGAAGCTGGGTTACAGCGCTTTCCTCGAACAGGAAACTGAACTAACGGCTGAAGGGTTCCTTTAGGAGGCCTATGTGAGCATATCTCCTGATGGGCAGGACTGCTTCTGTACTGGGGCAGGGATAAGATAGAAATGATGTTCAGGGCTACTTTTGCAATGGGACATGAAACAGTAGACCCTCCTCTGAAGGCAAGGAGACACACACTTCCCGAAGATCCCTTGGTGAACGGCCACTGTTAAGTTACAGCTAGTGCTGTTCCATGGAATTTCAGGGTTTGCTATTCAGCTAAAAACAAGGCCATGAACAGAGCAATATGATTCCTGCTCAGTTCCTGGGAAGGTGAGACTGCTCTCAAATCACAGCTGAGGCAGGCATTAGATGGATTTCAAGGCCAGTTCAAGATCTGCAGCCATAACAAGCCAGTGGACCTGTTACCTAGCAGAAATATGGGCAAGCATGCTTCCTCTTGAATTAGTTGGTGGCTGGTATCAGCGATGGGACCAAAACCAAAAGTTTATAGCCAAGTCCTCAGTGCAATGAGTCTGTTTATGATTATTGTCAGACCTGTTACTGTTGAGTCTGCCACTTGGTACATACCTACCCTCCCAAAACAGTTCTCGTCAGGGTCAACCAGAGTTGTGCACCCTCCTAGCTGTTTAGGCAATTGTCTCAACAAATGGCTACCAAATGCTTGTGGCTGTGGGAGGCATGCCTGTGGGAAACCCATGTTCTGTGGGAAACTTCCTGATCAGCCGTCTTCCTCTTTTTCCCTCTTTATATGACAGATAATATTAGAACAAGGCACCATGTTTTGTGTTTTATCAGATACCGTGGTACTGGATTGCCTTATTGTATGTTTTAATTTAGAGTTATTTACAAAGAAATGTAGGAAAATTGCAAAATAACCTGGTTTACAAGATAAGAAATCAAATTGAAATAAAACGATTTCTGGTCAGATTGGTAATGCTTCTCTCTGCCTTCCAGAAATTCTTTGAAATAGAAGAAGAAAAAGCTGCACTGCAGGATGCCACGAACATGAAAGTGAGCGTTTTGTCAAAAAAACTGAAGGAGAAAGAACAAATTCTTAAGGATTTAAGAAATGAACTAGAACAATATGAAGAGATTGGATTTGGCAAGATTGTAAGCTTGTTTCACTTTTATAAAAATTGATCATAATTAATGCTAAATCGTGTAAATAGAATTGTAGATAGCAATAACCCTGAGTTAAAAATGAATGAGAACTGGGCTGAGGAGATGAATGAAGCCCCACATTCACACACACAGATTCTCTCTCTCTCTCTCTTTCTCTCTCTCTCTCTCTCTCTCTCTCACACACACACACACACACACACCTTTGTTTTAAGAAAGGAGACTGTATTTCCAGGTAAATATGTTAAAATATTAATAAGCCAGGAGTCAGGCCTGTGGACATATGACCTTTGTGATCTTGTTCTTCTCTGGGAGTCTCACAAACAAGCTAGTGTTCAGTGAAGATATCCAAACTTCTGGAGTTTTAAGTTATCAGGTGTAATCCTGTTCACAGATCTCAAGACCCACCCTGTGGTCTCCTTCACTTTTCTTGGCAACCAGTTGAGAATAAGGGTAAAGTCATATTTGCAGCAATTGCGTGTGAATGAACTGTGACTCTCACTTGAGCCCTCACTTGGGGTTTCTTACTCTTTCCCCAAATGCCTCTTTTGTTAGAACCCTCGTGTTCAAATATAAGTTACATTTTCTCTTCTCTGAATGCACTCCAACTCTGATGCAAGTTAGAACTTTCTGGAGACCTTCTTCGTGACCTGATCAAGGATCTGGCTTGGCACAGTGGAAGCCCTGGGGGATAAGGGAAGTCTTCAAGATGTTGCCCAGAGTATTGTGGAACTGTGTCATTGCCCCTCTCCCAGCTGACAGAATGACTTTTAAAACAAGATGTCGAGAAAGAAAATCTCAGATTTCCATACTGATGGTCTCCCTAGCAAAAAGAACCAGTCACAACCTTCCTTCTTAGGCCCAGAGCCAGTGGGAACGCAAAAGGGAAGAGTGAACAGCAGAAAGGAGAGCATGAAGTTCTGTCTGCGATGAATGTTCGAGAAAGGCAGGTTTGTTCTCATCCCCTATCAGCTCAGCACTACCAGCTGCCTGGGGCCCAGAAGCAGTCCAAAGCAGGACTGGATTACCCTGAATCTCTAAGAGCAAGAAGATGACTGAATGAGAGTTACAGGACTGAGGGTGAATAGGTGATGCTAGAAAGTGCGTGCACGTGCACGCACACACACTCACACACACACACACACACACACACACACACACACACACAGACCACTAATCCAGATTGAATCTCCCTTGTGAAAAATACCTACAACCAGAAGGGTGTCAGATTAAAGATTTTTATTTTGAATTTCAGAATAGTTGCCTATCAGTCAGCCTGTGAAAACATTTTACTAAGTTCTCTAGGAACAAACCTCCCTTAAACTCCTTTTTTGTAAGTTCTCAACTGTTGCATCATAGATAGCTGCCCCCTCTAGTGGCTCAAAAATCCCTCTGAGACTTCTCACAAGGTTAACCTGCAACTGGATTTGGAGCACAGAATGCAGAGAAACAGTAAAGATGCCAAGAGGAGGGCCAGCAAATGGCTTTGCAGTTACAATGGTTTGTAATATATGTGTGATGACCTCAGCTCCATCCCTAGAGCTTAAAGGTGAGGGAAGCAACCCCACAAAGCTGTTGGCCCTCCACACACATATCAGGGCATTCATGCCTCACCCTCACCATAAACACTTATATATATTACCAATGAATAAATATTTAGGGGAAATCTCAAGAGGAATATTTTTGAAAACATGGAAAATAAACTAGCTTTGCTTAGTCTATGTAAGAGGTGATTGATTCTTCTCGTATTCAGATTGTATCAATAACTTATTTATGTTAATGAAGTCATGCTGTCTCTCCTGGCTTGGTTCTGAGAGAAAGCTGGTGAGATTGGCTAGAGGATGTCAAGTTCAATAAACAAGTAGTCTAAATGGCATGTGTGGTCAAGGGAAAGAAGAAGGGGTGGAGTGTTTAAGTAACGGAAACCTGGGCTTCCAATGACATTCTTGGTGTCAATTTCTCTGAGAGCGACTTCATTCCAGTTTTTATTCTGTGGGAAATCTGTGGGACTTAGCTGCAAACTTGTGTGGTTCCTGGTTTGCCATGCTGTCTGTTGAGCACTGTCTCTGAGAATTGTAAAGAAAGTTACCCCATCAGAGTGTGCTTGTGTACCTGTGTGTACCGTGTGTGTGTGTGTGTGTGTGTGTGTGTGTGTGTGTGTGTTTGCACACTCTTGCCTGCTTGTGCACATCACATATTGATTTTAACTTCAGCTGGAGTTCTTGTATTAGATGGGCTTTTCATTTTTCCTTCTTACTCCAATATGGCCAAGCTGTGCAACCATCATCTCCCCACCCTCCACTGATGAACAGATCTGCTTCTTTCTAACGACACTGCGACAGAGCTGCCATTCAAGAATGGCTACTCTGCAGGGCTGCGCTATCCTAGGGTGCCACTTTCCTGGTTGTCACTCACTGGGGAAGCACCTGCTCGTCTATTTGGCTGTCACAAGGCAAGGGCATGCATCAGAATCATGCTTGTCTGCTCCCTCGCCCCCGCCCCCACCCCTACCCCCCAACCCCCAACCCCAGTGTGCCATCCACAAATTGAGATGTCCAAGTGCCATCCACAGCCAATATCACAGAAGAGAACTGCTGAGAAGGCATACAGAGAGCTCTGAGGCAGGAAGTTCTCAGACCCCAGTTCGTATGCATCACCTGCTGAAATTGCTCAGGTAGAGACGTACACAGGAGGTCTGGACTGGAACCTGAGACCCCACATCTCCAGCAGAATCCCAACTGATGCCTAGGCACTTAGTCAAGAGCACATTGAGAGAAGGAAGGTTCTGCATGGTCCTGCTTTTAGGAAGCTCTTCTTTCCAGACTCGGCTTGGAGTTCTGAGACCTGCATCAGACATATTGTGGACCTCATGCTTATTCACAAGAGAAACGGCATCTATCCCACCGATTAAAGGTCTCATTTTCATAAAATGGTGGAAAAGCAAGATAGCAGAAAGTGCCTTTATGAATTTAAAATCCCAGGATGATTGCAGACGGGATCTTGGATTATACTGTGCCTTTAAATACCCAGCTAACATTCTTTTAATGATCTCCAGCTTCGTGTTAACCTTGTTTTATGAATGCAGTTTATTTTTAAGGAGATTCGTGGTTTAAGCAAGACAGAGCAAGCAATGTGTGGGGCAGATGGCAGAAGGAACATCACCAAAAAACTCTCCACTTGAGTGTGAGAGAGCAAAGCAGCAGCCAGGACAAAGGCTTTGTTTCCTTTGCTAATGAAGTATCCTATTGCCCTGGTGTCTGAATCGTTAATTACTTGCAGTTCCTTCATCTGACAGATGGTGGCGACAGAGCTAAAGGCTAACCTCTGGAGAATCAGGGCTGCAGATAAAAGTGCCTCACTTTAATGGGTTTTCCTTGAGACTTGCTTTCCCACACAGAGGCTTAGGACACATATTAGCTAGGAGCTGCTCCCACTTTAATCATATCTTATTTGTTCAAATAATTCTTAGGTTATGAATGGTAACAGACACCCATGTAATCCTCTATGGATGGCCATGAACTGCCAGGTGGGAAATACAGGCTTAAGAAGATTCAAATCCATGTTGTTTATATTTAAACAATAAACACATTCTGTAATCTCAGCTTTGGTGATGTGAAACATGGGAATGCTGAGTCTCCCTTTATTTTGTTGAGAAAATCATGCCGTTTCTTACCTGATCATTAGACCAGTTAGTGCTCCTCTATTTCTGCATGTTAGAGTCTGAGCACTATGGTTGCCTAGTTAAGGGGGTGAAGAGTTCAAGACCAAGGGCTAGAGGGATGGCTCAGTGATTAAGAGCACTGGCTGCTCTTCCAGAGGACCCAGGTTCAAATCTTGGCACCACATGGCAGCTCACAACTGTCTATAACTATCTATCCAGGGGAACTGACAACAACAACTTTTTTTGATCTCCAATAACACTAAGTGTACATGTAGTGCACAGACATACATGCAGGCAAAATACTCATACACAGAAATAAGTAAATAACAAAAAAAAAATCTCACTGGGAGAGCCAGGCTATGCAGTGCCTGCTTATCTCAATGACAATAAACAAAATTAGAAATTTTGAGGTAATTTAAATAAAACAAAGAATTAAAAGCTCAAGATTTGTACCCAAGCTTAGAATAAAACAATAGCATATTCAAATGCTATTAAGTGCATTGTAGATTATTATAATCCCATTGACAATTCGCTGATTTTAAAGGGTTTTATTAATGTACTATGAAACATTCTAACACTTGTTTTTCTTTTCAAACATTACAATCCCAGGGAGAAACATTTCAATAATTTACTCTATCATTCCTCTGCAACAAAATCAGGGTACAGTTCCAGAAGGAAACCAGTATGTTAGAAAGATCATTCTGTTTTTGAGTATTTATTTATTCTTACTTATTTGCAATCATGGAATTACTGTAAAAGGACCAACTCATAGTTCAGTTACGATTACTTTGAAGTTCGAAAGTATTTTCAAGTCCATGGGAATTTCAAAGCCAGACATGTAGAATTGTTTTCCTATTTTAGCATAATAATGTGACCCTTATTTTGAAATTGCATGATCTGTAAAAGAGTATAAAATTCTGCACCAGCTTCCCTGGTCCATGACATCTTAATTTTCCTAAGTGTGTCCATGAAACATAGACAACCATAGGCAAGTATATTCAGATGTTTTCAATAGCTTTGAAACAGACAAGAGGAAGAAGAAAAAGAGAGAAGCCTTCCCAAATAAACTTTCATTGCATAGGAAAAAGCCTCTGTCATAATGGACATGGCAAGATTTAAACAAAAGACGCACATAATAAAAATGTAAATGAGTTTGCTTTACTAAAACTATAACTTTAAAGTCCTTTGTTGTAAGTTATCCTGAAACCTTCTTACAAGGTAATCACTCTGCATAGAGATTGAAACCCTAGTCTTCAATAGCGTTAACTGCCTGCGCAGCCCCTGTGACAGGCATGCAAAGCCATGTTAATGTTCAGAATATGAATTGCCTCTGGGTGGCTCCCCCACCCAGCAGAAAACCAACTGTGTGGATATCTGCGCGCCTGATGGGCTCCATGCGGCTCCCAGCCTGCACACGTCACCCCTTTGACATGTGATGGGCTCTTCCCGGCACTGGCAGCACTGACACTGGGAAATGCCACAAAGGCAACAAGCCCCCCTCCTTAGCCTTGCACTTCGCCACCCCCTGGCGCTGCCCATCCATGGCCTCCCCAGCCTGCCTAGTTACAAGGGACAGCACTTCAGATACTCAGAGGGAAGTGTGGGTGGAGGGGGCCCCAGCTGCCTCCCTGGACACAGCCTCCATAATGAATTGACCTGAATGATGAGGGCACACAAACAGTATGATATGCATTATTCCTGTCAATAAAATGTCCCCATGTGCTGGGGTCTTTGTACAGAATGTACTGTGGCCTTTCTTCCAGCCAGTTCTATTTAGTCCCCTTCCTTCTTGCTATTCATATTATAAGTGTGTAATAGAATTCAGAAAATTATATGATAGTGCCTCTTTATGGGCATTGTCCTAGAGTTGCATATTTAAATCCTTGGTTCCCTGCTTAGAAATATGGGATTCCTTCTCTTCACAGGACTCTTTGGCCAAGGAGCCCAGCTCTCCAAAGCTATTCTTGGAAAAGGAAATTATGGAATACAAGATGGAAAACGAGAGGCTGCTGCAAGTGATCTCAGTCCTGGAAGAAGAAGTGCAAGTGAACATGAAAGAAAATGCAATGTTAGGTAACACTTACAACCCTTCCCTTGTGAGGAGCGGCACACGTAAGACCCATTCCTCTGTTTGGCTTTTCCTCTCACATGCGTTTACTTACACCTAGAAGAAGTCGGTTTGATAGCTCTCTTTTTCTTTTTACGATAGCTTTCCTTGCTTGGAGCATAGGATGTTTCTGTATTTGCCCTTCTGAGCCATGCCATGTGAACTCAGAGCACTTGTTTCTAAACAAACAAACAAAAAAACCAAAACAAAACATACACATTAGCCTTAGCAAAGGGGGGGGGCAATCAGTTTGTTCTAGACACAGTGTGCCCACTTTCTTTCACACGCTGACGGTCTAACTATAACATACATAAGGGAAAGTGACAAGACACACTTGTGGAGAGGCATTGCATTTTTATCACCAGAAGTATGCTGCTTTAAAGTGCCGTTAGATTTTAACTGCTGCTGTTTATTTGCATTTTGTTTTGTTTTGCTCTTTGTATGATGCTCTGGTAACCTACAGTATGAAAGCAGAGCGAAAATTAAGAACGTGGATGTGAGCCTTGGTGAAATGAGTCATAATACAGTGTCCCTTTAGTGCTAGATGATGCCATGCCCCTGTGACTCCATTTCTCTTTGGATGTGGTAGGACAATGCTTTCTCAGGTTGTGGTCTTTCTTAGCAAATCATAAAGTGCCACCTGCTAAAGCACTTTGTATTGGCTGTAGCTAACAGCAAAAAATGTCCACTGCTAGTATTGATGAAAAGCATCTAGCCCTCAGCCACACTTGGATCTTGAACTTACTTCTTACTCCCTATCTGACCGGCTAACCTAACAGCAGGAAGAAGGCTGTGAATGTCAAGGGCATTTGTGAAGGTCGTAATCCTGCTAGGACGTGTGAACACCATGCCTGCCGGTGCCTCTACAGCCTGCCCCAAAGCGGGCAGTTTGAATACAGGGGCATACGTGTGTAATTTCATGGTTGGCCTCTCTCTTCTTTTGTTTACAGAGGATGAAATTATGTGTCTGAAAGAGATGTCAAACCAGGATCAGAGAACTATTCAAAAGGTACGTGCATCTTTTACATTGATAAATGACTCTTTTTAAATTGAAATATCAGCACCATTGGTGAAATGACATCATGTCCAGGGTGTCTTCAAATGGAAAGCTGGCTTATACATTTCCCCATTATGTCATTTTAACAACATATTTCCTTATTGTCTGGAATAATATGGCTAGTAATAAGAATTCTGACTGGAAAAAAACTCATTTGGATGTTGATCATCTCTTATTTGGAGCTATATGAGCATCTATCTTGTTGGTTATAAGGAACCAACAAGTTACACGATTTTGAAAGTTTCCAACCTTTGCTTGTAAGCACCTATTAGTAAGAATGAGACTACACTGCCACATCTTGTTTTCAGGTTGGATGTTGGTTGATGCTCTTTTATTCTTAGTGAGAGTGAATTGGCTTACTCTGGTAGGTCAGTCTTTATTTAAAGCAAGAAAAGTTTCAGTATCATGAAAATCAAGAATCCCAGTTCATCTGACACACAGGAGCATGGCAGTTGTTCCTCCTCAGCCCCCTGCTGGTGAGCCGCCCTGCTTAAAGACTTGTGAGCAGCGCTCCTCCCCTGTGCAGTCTTCCCTGTACTGTGATTCCTAGTGCAGACAGCACACTATCTCATCTGTGTGGAGGACCATGCCTGAAACCCTGAAATACACTCCTGCAGCAATGTATAGAATGAAGATGCATTTAACACTCATAAAATTTACAGATGAAAAGGTGGACCCAATCCCCAAATTACTCTAGTAAACAAATGTATTTTCCAGTAACTCAACCAATTATCCATCTTTAGGTTAAACTAGACAAAATTAAAAGCATGGATCTTGGGGCTGGAGAGAAGGCTCAGTGGTTAAGGGTACTGACTGTTCTTCAATAAAAACTGGGTTCTATTCCCAGCACCCAGCACCCAGCTATAACTTCAGTTACTGGAGATCTGATGGCCTCTAAGTACAGGGCATGTACTTGGTACACAGACATACATGCAAGCAACACAACCATAACTATAAAAATAAATATTTAAAAAATAATCAAAGTGTGTGTGTGCGTGTGTGTGTGTGTGTACAAAACCTTTACTCTTCAATTACATAAGTCACATTTCAAAAGCATGGTGGCCACTTAGACTCAACTAGTTTGGGGTCAGATGCCAACCAGGTCTGACTGCAGTACAAGATATTCTTGGAGTTTAGATAAAACTGGTTTTAAGAACCATAGTGATAGACCAGAACTGGGCCATGATTTCCTCTGCTAGGCAGGTTTCCATGAAATGATTTCATCTTCTTGAGCTTTACCCAATCTCCTCCAGCAGTACTGTAAACCCCACTGTTACAGAATAACAGTGGCATTTGTGGACAGACAGTTCGGGATTCTCAGGATTGGTTTCGTTAGTGTAAGAAGGAAATATACAGATTCTGGTTTTACTTTGCCTACAAGAGCAGCATACTTCATAACAAGCTCTGCAGGCCACTCGTCCTCACTCCTCCAATGAGAATGAGTTACAGAGGCTTCCTAGTCTATATGGAATACAGTATGTGGCTAAAGCCAAAAATGTCCCTTGTATGTCCTCAAAGGTGCAAACCATGCCCTATGTGAGCTGAAATTTCTCAGTACTGCCTTCTGGTCACATGTGACTGAACATTTGCAGCATGGCCAGGGCTGTCTCCCTCCCAGCCACATATGACCACTGGACATGTGACCACATGGCCAGTTCAACTGAGGGGATTCATTTTGAACAATGTTAAATTTAAATGGAAAAACAGTTTTTTTTTAATGAATGGAAAAAACCTTCAATAATTTACATAATGGAATTTTCCTTCTTATTTGTGTTTTGAAATCTGCATAGATAAGAATTTAGCTCTCAAATCTGTCCTGTATTTGAAAAAAGACATATATACATATGTGTGTGTGTTTAAAAAATTGATTCAAAAGATGAAATATTTCCCTCATAATTCTAATATTTATTAGTTAATTTGGAGTATATATAGGGAGAGATAAACATATAGTTTTAATATCATGTTTTACATATATGACTAAATTATTTGTGTTTGCCAGCTCTATTCTAGATAACTACAGCAGTGGTTTTCAACCTTCCTAATGCTGCAACCCTTTAATACACGCCTCATGTTGTGGTCTGACCCCCAACCATAAGATTATTTTCATTACTACTTCATAACTGTAATTATCTGATACTCAGTATCTCTGATATGCAACCCCTAGGAAAGGATCCATCAACCTTTCAGTATAATCTGCTACAGTATAGCAGATCTCTTTCAACTCATTCCTTCTCTGAAAGTCCTGTTTTCTTCTGCTTTTCCTTACAGTCACTAGAACTTAATGTAGACAAGAAACGGACTCACTTATTGAGAAGAAAAATAAAATCTACACCCCTAGGTTCCTGTTTTATTTCTAGCTTGTCCCTGTAGAGTAGCTCTTGCCCCCTCCCCCTGTCTCCCAGGCTTACTGGGTATGTAGTAGAGATAGTGTGTGTAAGTGATTTGTCAACTGGAAGCAGTTGAATAAGAAGGACTAGATCGTTAAAGTTTGTTCTCAATACCCTTCAGCAACTTAATTCAATGGTGTTTATAAAGTGATTTTGAATGTCACACACTATGCTACTGCTAGAAAAATTTAAATGTGTGGACACTAACACACACAACACACATGAAGTCACAGACCAAAACTACAGAGCAGGGTGACAACACAGAGACAAGAAGCTGGCTCAGCTCCATCTGGAGTATTCTAGAAAACCTTCATAGACATTCCCATGTTCTTTCTGTCATGGTCCTCTTGGGAGGATGGCCTGGGCTGTTATTTTCCAGAGAACAAGAGGACACAGAAGCTGGTCAAGTGTGAGTGTGTGATGAGTGGTGTGAAGTATATTCCAGGACTTTCAGAAATGTGGCATGGCTGGCTCATGTAGTAGGGACCTGTTGAAGTGACAAAGTGAGAATTTGTTGTGGAATACAGAGAAGACTAAAGCATGGGGAAGAGGCAGGCAGAACAAGAACATACAGAAAAAACAAACTCAAAAGCTTCAGCTAAAGCACAAGTTCCCTTCTTTAAGCAGTAGATATAATAAAATAAATAAACAAAAACAAGTTGAAAATGGGTCTGAGTTTGAGTGAGCCGACTCTCACCTTCTGTCCAGGATAAGCATCCTACAGCATGGAATGCAGTAGCACTTGTGTTTTAATTCAAGTGGTCTAACAAAAGGTCTCTAAGCCTGTTTTCCATCTGCTTCCACCTCACAGTCCCTTCTTGAAATGTCATTCTAGTAGGGGGCAGACCAGGAGACAGAGGGGACTGTACAAATGTGATGCCCTGCAAGCTGAGGAGGCTGCAGGAGGTATGCCTTGCTTTGGTGGTAGGAGAGCAAAGCTGGCTGAAGGCAAGGTATTGAGCTGCCTCCCACAAGTCAGACAGAGCTAGGCAGGGGGAAGAAAGAAAAAAAGAAGGAGAGAGAGAGAGATAGGAGAGAGAAAGGAAGGAAGAAAGAGGAAGGAAGGAAGGAAGGAAGGAAGGAAGGAAGGAAGGAAGGAAGGAAGTCAGAAACCACATCTTAAAGGGCAAGGTGTGTAGTTTCACTAGCTGAGCAAGGGAGGGTGGCCAGGGGTTAGATGTCTTCTGAGTGCCTGAGAAACCTGGACACTGTGTTAGGCTTGGACTTGTGTTTCTGATGAATATGAAATGGGGAGAGGGGATCTGAGCCAGGATGACAAGCCAATAGGTGATTTGGACAAGCATTGGACAATATAGAGTCTTGAGCAGTGACTGTAAAGATGTTTATCAGATTAGTAAATACAATTGAGTAAATTGATTGAGTTGAACAAAGGTCTAAATAAAGGTTTCAATTTTACCTATATAACAGAGTTTCAACTACAAAAAAAAAAAAAAAAAAAAAAAAAAAAAAAAAAAACTGCATAAGGACAGAGGTAAATTGTGTGGTTTTAAGGAGTATTTTCAGTAAATATAAATATTGTTTGAGAATGTGCCATATGGAAAGTTAAACAAAGCTGTAATGGAGGATAGACTGACTCACTGGATTGCATGATGTCACATTTGATGCAGCAAGGAAAGTTGCAAGTACATTGGCTTTTTTTTTTTATATTAGCTTTGTTATATAATATTATGAGACCTTAATAATCCGTAGGAAATTCTTTTTTTTTTTTTTCCTTTGATCACATTAGGATCCATTTTCCTCCCATATGAAAATGTATTTTTATCACATTCTACTGAGGAAAACATTTTAGGTGTTGTCTTCTTACCTTTAATCAAAATGTCATTATTTTTCTCTATTACAGTTAATGGATAGTAGAGACAGATTGAGATATGAGTTGGATTGCGAAAAATTAGCCGTTCAAGACATGGTAAGATGATTTATATTCCCTCTAAGGAATTTGAATGTGAGACATTAGTTTCACCTGAATGTGTTTGGTGCTCGTGTGTTACTTTGCTGGGAACAGTTTCTCCTTCATCAGTTTCTCCTTCATCAAAATCTTAACTGTCCGTGTAATTGTAGAAACTTTTAAGTAGGCATTTGGAGGAAGAATTTGAATTGTTGATAAGCTGGAGGTAAACTCTGGGTAAGAAACAGTATGACAACTTAAAATGGTGTACAAAGTATTCTCATCTCGTTCTGAAAATCTAAAAGCAAAATGAAACCTGAGAGCCCAGGATTTTGAAGGATTTGCTATTTTTAGTTACAAATTGCAGTTATTGACAACAAGAAGAGAGCCCAGCTCAATAGTTTGGCATTCTGTGGTAGTCTCCTAAGACAACACTGCCTTTTCATGGTCTTAAAGAGAACTTTCCAGACGGCTGGCCTTTTATCAGTTGACTCCCCACCCCCAGGCCCTCAGCACCAGCTCCTGGTGCTGTACTGGCTGTCAGCTGATCGCCACTAGTATGTCTTTGTTACAGTAAACTGCGTTTATTATAATAAAACATAAAACCCAGCTTGACTTGAGTCTCCAATGTGCTTGGAAAGAATATGACTCTGTCTGCAGGAGACAAGGTTGCTCCAGGAAAGCCACACCACTTCAGATAGTGAAACATTTGCTTTTTCACAGCTTGTCACACTTGTGCCAAGTTGTGACTGTCTCCCCAATTCTGTTTTGTTACTCCCGGGCACCCTGTGTTTTGGGTTTCTTGTCATAGAAATTAATGCAAAACAATGGTCCTGGATTACAATGAAGCCTTCTATTAAACCAACTTGGGTATGCAGGCAAGGGGGGGGTGGGATTAAGACCCACTATTCACAAACACCACGTGTTAGCAAATGCATTATTTTGTCCTTTACTTTTAAATACCTGCATATAAAAAGCCTCCCTCCTTTGAGAACACTTGGTGGATTTCTGGTATTCTCACAGCCTGTCTTCTGCTCTTCTAGAGAAGTACAGCCTCTGCCTCCAAAAGACCTTAACATACACATAGTGATTAAAAGGAAGTGTTTTTATTGGGTGGGAAGTAAATGTGACATTGTTAGTTTGTCAGCAGCAATTGAGAAGAACCGCAGCCATCCAGCAGTGAATTTTGTGCCTGTGCTGGGAGTAGACCCCATGACCTTTTCTTTTTAAAAAACTGTAAGTGTTCAACGGGTGCTATTGTATCACCCACAGGGGAACCAATCCCGCTTTATTTTCTTGTTTAGAAGTTTGTTGAGCCCCAAGCTTGTTGCCAAGCAGCAAGAGCCTGCCTCAAAAACAAAACAAACAAACAAACAAATAAAACAAAAACAAAACAAACCAGAACAATACTAGAGTTTTTAGTATGCTTAGAACTAGTTTGGGGAGTTCCATTTTTCAGTAGGGGCATGAGCTTAAATCCATCTTCCCAGGCAAAGTTGCCATGGTGGACTTTCCTCCCTCCATCTCCCCCAGGAATTGATGCTCATTAGAGGGAGGTAACTTTAGGGATCTTTGGCACTGTTGTTTCATGCTATGCTGTGTTTGTCCATAAACCAGAGTGTAGGAGTATGTTGAAAAGGAGTGGAAGAAAGTGGAACTGGATGTTATTTTATAAATATCCAATTTTTCACTAAAGGTTTTCTGTTCTTTGGTTTTCTATTACAGTTTCCCAAAATATTTTCTGACCTATTAAGAGTCTTGTGGAAAAAGTAAATGTGTATATAAAAAGCAACAACAACACAAGCATAATAGATGGGCAATCACATGTGCTATGTTAGAATTGTCACAAGACAAATATTTGAGAAATCAGAGGAGGAGAGAGTCACGTGGGCCCATGGCTTCCAAGGTTCCAGACTGTGGCCCTCTAGATTCATTGTTCCTAAACATGTGATGAGGTAGAACATCTGGGGTCAGAAATGGTGGGGCTCAAGGTATCAACAAAAGGCCAACAGAGGGAACCAGGACAAGACAGTCTCTAAAGGCATGCTTCTTATTTTCTCTAGCTAAGGTATCACCTTGAAATTTCAACTATTTCCTAATAATGCTGGCCACTTATTAGTCCCGTAGTAGTATACAAACCCATTGATTAGGTCAGAGTACAAATGACCCAATAGCTTCTCCATAATTGGATCCATTTTCTACAGATCTAACCTTTAATATATACAAGTGTGCACATCACGTCCCTGCAGTGACATGGAGAAGTTGTATCCCTAGAAGGAACTTGGAGCAAGCACAAGAAAGAGTTCTGCATCTTCCCACAGTTCCTAAGAGAATGTTTTTCATTTTTCTTCAAGTGCACAAAGGAACAAGTTTCCCATTAGGAAAGGAGCTTGGCTGAGCTCCTTCCTTGACCAAATCTCTCTCTCTCTCTCTCTCTCTCTCTCTCTCTCTCTCTCTCTCTCTCTCTCTCTCTCTGTTTTCTCAGAACTGCCCAGGGTCACGACAGACAGGGAGTACAATCTGTACTCTAGTGCCACTCTGGGGACACAGCACTAACAGACTCCCAAAGTCTACTTGCTTCTGTAACTGGGTTCCAGAAGTCCAAATTCTCTTTAAGGCATCCTTCAAGTTGGCCCACTCCCATTGTGTGTGATATGGCAATATTTGGCTGACCAGATGGGAAACCAATGTTTCCAGTGATCTGAGTAAAACCTCACTGACCTCAAAATTCTGGGAAGACCAGCACCAAATGAGCAGTGCTGGTGAGTGACTCCTCGCTGTAAGCCAGGCTGTCAGAGGAGTTCTACTCTCATGCTCTCACTACCCATGATCAGACCAGTGTGCCCCCTGCAGTCCCCGACAGCTGAAAGTCCTACTCAACATGTACCCCTAATTGCACAATTAAAAAAAAAATGACAGAGGGCAAAGCTGGTGACAGAAAAAGCTCCCTCCATTCATTGCTATTCACATGACCTCTCAAAATCTCCACGGTATACTCATGAGAGCTATGAAAGTTTTAAGATAATTAACACCTCATAGGTATGAAAATAATTTACAATTTACAGAATCTAAAATGGCTTTAAGGACTCTGAAGATCCTTGGACCACATTCTGATATCTGTTACACTACTTACTAAGTTGAAAATATACCTAGTCGGTCACGAAGGAAGTCTTTGTTCTTTTGTGCTTTTGATCCTCTTCCTTTCCAATGCATGTATCTATTAATAACTTTTCCTTGGCACACTGCTGTTAGAATGTCAATTAGTACATTCATATCTCTCTCACTCCTTTTCGTTATTCTTTATTATGTTTTGAGGCAAGCTCCTACTATCTAGCTCAGGCTGTCCTAAAACTTGTGCTCCTCCTGTTTCAGCCTCCCAAGTCCAAGGATCACAGTGTTCTGCCACATCCAGCTACATTAATATATCTCAATGGGCTGTGCCATTAATGTTAGGCTCAGGCAGAAAGTTCCAGATATGGGTATAGAGAGATGATGGCTCATCATGTAAAAGAATTTGCTGAGCAAGCATGAGGACCTGTGTTCCAGGTGCTTTCATGCATGCCAGCAACTCCAGTGCTGGGCATTAGAGGTAGAGCCACAAGTATGGTCAGGGTTTACTGGATGCCAATCCAGCTAAAAATCAGGAAGTTATAGGTTCAGTGAGAGACCTTGTCTAAATGGAATGAGGTGGAGAATGATGGAACTCAACACCAACCTCTTGTCTCCTCCACTTCCTTCAGCTATACCTCAACCCCATGGAATCTCTTATCCATAACAGTAGCAGAATTACAGTTAAGAAGTAGCAATGATATAATCATATAGTTGAAGGTCACCACATTAGGAAGGTTGAGAATCACTGTTAAGTTTCTACAACCTCTCAAGGCCAACAGCTAGGAACGAGGGTTCAAATACACAGCCTGTGGAGGACATTTTACATTCTAGTCATAACTACTATTAAGTGTAAGAGTATAGACTCCACTTCCCTCCTTAAGGAAGCTCAGAGCTGCCACACATGACTGTGAGGAGATGGGCCTGTGGCCCAGCATCTGCTCTTACTTTCTCCATCCAGCAACTCAGTGGTAAGATGTTCAGCAGGCCCAAAGTGAGTCCCTTGCAGCTCTGCCAGGCATCCATCTATACTGATAGCTCTTCTGAGAGCTGTCCCTGGCCAGGCAGCTCCTTCCTAGTGGAACATGAATGCTGATCCTTATGCTGGGATTTCTTTACTCTGTTGCTCAGGTCAAAGCCTTCATGTGACTAAGAATGATGAGCCACAGCAATTAAATTCTGCCTGGTTCTGATTTTAAAAAGGTCTTTGTGGTTCACCATTACATATATTTGTTGTAGGGTTTACACTTTAGCCCTCAGAATGGGTGCATGTGAGATGAAGCAGATTAGATGTTATTATTCTAAAATACTTTATACGCATCTATTCATATAATCATGCAGTTTTCCCCTCTGATCTGATCATGTTCAGTTATTACATTAAGAGCTCTTATTCAGTCATTAGGAAGCTTCACACACTTATTTCTTTTGCATTTTGCAACTATTGCCTTGTATTGTGAGTGAGGCTCATCTGTGTTGTTACATCACCCTGCCAATTGTTATGAAATAGAATGACTAAGAAAGGACCAATTATTAGATACAGACTTATTGATTTGTTTAGAGACTTAAAGTACTGATTGTGCTGCCTATTTTCTAAGCCTGACTTCATTTGCTACCTGGAACAGAATGGTCCAGAGAAATACCTGAAACTATGGGTGATTGCCCTTAACAACCTGCTGATTGCCCCATAAGCTTTTCTATAAAATCTCGCTTGCTTGCTGATCTCACTTTGCGGTTTTGGAGTATAAAATGAGACTGGGCCTAAGACTCAGGCCTTTCAGGAGATACTGTGGCTTCTGTCCACTGATGCCATCTCCTCCTCCACTGTCATAGGTGTCATTTGAATGCTTATTCTAGAGATTCCCACAACAATGGTTGCTAATGATCATAGGAGAGATCATTAAAACTGAAAATAG